AGAACATGATGGCACAAATGTTCAGAGAAACAAACGATAAATGCAAAATGTAATTCCTATGTTGTTGTTGTTTTTTTCTCTCTCTGTCTCTGTCTGTCCTGTCTGTCTCTCTCTCTCTCTCTCTCTCTCATCTCCTCTCTTCTCTCTCATCTCTCATTCTACCTCATCTCTCTCTCTCTCTCAATCTCATCTCATCTCATCATCATCTCTCTCCTCCTCCTTCTCTCTCTCTCATGTCAATCTTCTGTCTCTCTTTATATTTCTATCTATTTATCTGCATATTCTACCTCTGCGTCCCTCATCACCACCCTTCCCTCCCACCCTCTCGCCTCTCCTATCCCTCCTACTCTCACCAGCTTCACGCCTCCCTCTCTCGCTCTCCCTCCTCTCCCAGCCACCCTCTTCTCTCCGCTCTCCGTCTCCCACCCACTCCCCCCTACATACCTTCCCCTTATCCTTCCTTTCCCCCCTCCCACCCCTCCCCATCCTACCTCCCCACCTCCTCCACCCTTTTCCTCTCTCCTCCCTCTCTCCCCACCCACCCACATCATACATACCTTCCCCTTTCCCCCTGCCCCCTCCCTCCCTCACCAACCCCTAACCCCTCCAACGTAACTCCACACCTCACCTCCCACCTCCTTCGCCATCAACTACCCGTCCCAACCACTCACACCTCTCTCCCTCCGCCTCCCTCCCATCACATCCCTACCCCACACAAATATCAAAGTATAACATACACCCTACCCCTCCTCCCCACTCCATCCTACCCCTACCCCTCCCCTCACGACCTCATCACCCCTTCCTCCCGTCTCCCCATGTCTTCCCTCACGTCGGAAACCATCCCCCCTCTCCTCATACTTCTCACCCCTCACCCGCCGTCTACCCTCACCACTCTCACCCTCACCTCCATCACCCACTCCTACCACCTCACCCACCTCCCTCCACCTTCTTCCTTCACCCCATCTTCACCCACCTACAACCTCTCTCCCCCTCTCCCCCTCGAACTCCTCACCCCCTCCCTCTCTCCCCACCCTCAATCACCCTCACCCACCTCTCCCTCACACCTCTCACCCCACTACCCTACCACCTCTCAAACGCCACCCTACCCCTCTCACCTTCTCACCTACCCCTCACACCTCTCATCCTCCCCCTCTACGCACAACCCCTCCCATCCCCACTCACCTCCCTCACGGACAACCCCCACCCACTCCCTACGCCACACCCAAGCGGACCGCAACGCTACTTGGTCCTTAAATTAGTCAAGCGCCAGAATGCTTCATTCAACTGAATTAAAAAACTATCCATGAATAGCCGAATGGGCGCCGTTTTACTCCTTGATTAACGACTAAGGCGCGGGCGGTGGGCCGGCCACCCTGGTGCTCATCGCGCGCGGCGGAACGACACAGAAAAGGGCGGAAAGGGAGGGATATCTCTCTCGCATTCTCTCTCGAGCTCTCCTCTCTCTCTTTCTCTCGTCCTCTTTCGGGGGGTTCAATTTTCGATTTATTTGTGTGTTTGTTATTTGTTATTATTTATTTGCTCCGGTTTTTTATTATTTCTATTATTATAATTTATTTGGATTTTGCTCGCCTTTTTTTTTCTCTCTCTCTATTTTCGCTTGAATCTTTCTCTCTCTCCATCGTTCTCTTTCGGTGGTTCTATTTTTATTTTTTATTTTTATTTTGGGCTCGGGATATTATTTTTTCTTTCGCTATTCTTTCTCTCATTTCTATTCGGTCCTTTCTTTTGTTAATCTTTCCGCTCTTTTTCGTTCTCTTTCGCTCGCTCATCATCTCATATTCCCTTTCGGTCTTTCTTTTGTTTAAAAATCTTTATCGCTACTTTTTTTTGCGTTCATGCTTTTTTCGCTCCTCGCTTTCTCTCTTCTCTTTATCGGTTTCTTATCGTTTGATCTTTGGCTNCCTTCCCTCCCTCATTCCCCTCTCCTCCCTCCCTTCATTCTCCCTTCCTTCCCTCCCTCATTCTCCCTCTCCTTCCCTCCCTCATTCTCCCTCTCCTTCCCTCCCTCATTCTCTTCCCCATCCCCTCTCTCGCATTCCACCTGCACCTTTGCAATCTCTCGCCAGTCACTCTGCAAACAAGACAGCAAGAACGACAGCTCTGGATGTTGGTGAATCACTTATGTCTATTTGATTTCTGATTTGCGTCGAACAGGCAAGAAAAATATCGTTCAGTAGATATTCTTGGCGATTTTTTTTTTTAATGAATTGATTTAGGATGTGTTGCGTGTGAATATATATGTATATGCATTTATATATAAATAAACCTAGATATATAGTGTGTGTGTGTGTGTGTGTGTGTGTGTGTTGTGTGTGTGGCATATACACAGTAATATAACAGAGGTCGGCAACCTATGGCACAGTGCCAGCCTTGGCACGCAGAGTGCTTGTCTATGGCACATGTGATTCAGGAGCAAAAAAAAAAAAACAAACAAGATGATAGAGAGAGAGAGAGAGAGAGAAGGAAGAGAGAGAGGAGAGAGAGAGAGGAGAGAGAGAGACAGAGAGAGAGAGAGAGAGAGAGAGAGAGAGAGAGAGAGAGAAGAGAGAGAGAGAGAGAGAGAGAGAGAGAGAGAGAGAGAGAGGAGAGAGAGAAGAGACAGACGAGAGAGAGAGAGAGAGAGAGAGAGAGAGAGAGAGAGAGAGAGAAGAGAAAGAGAGAGAGAGAGAAAGAGAAGAGAGAGAGAGAGAGAGAAAAGAGAGAGAGAAGAGAGAGAGAAGAGAGAGAGAGAGAGAGAGAGACAGAGACAGACAGACAGAGAGAGAGAGTCTACTATTATGGGCCCCACCGCAGCAGGATAACAACGGTGTGCCCAGATATCAATAAGGTGAGTATAGATCGAAAATTATAAAACACATATATTTTTGTTACACAGAATACTAAATATCAAACAAATATTACACTCATGTATGTGCAGGAAAATACACTTGGTTATACAGTACTGAAAAAAACAAGCACGCAAGGGTATAAATAAGAAAGGACTGATTATAAAATGGCACACTATGTTCAGAAGGTTGCCGACCTCTGACATATAAACATGATCATATATCACTCTTTATTATTTAACTCATAAATATATTTCAAATTACATTATGCGATCTAATAGTACATGATAAGGATACCATTTGCATAATTCACTCGATTTTCTATTATAATTTAATGTAAGTAAAATCATTTCATACTCAACCTCATCTTATGAGTTCCTATTAGTGACAGTTACCTTTTTTTTGAAATAACTAGTTAAAAGAAAAAAAATATTCAAAATTATCTCACCTTTCCCGCTCAAAATTAGAATTTATTTTAGAAAAAGCCATAGTTACTCTCACAAACAAAAAACACCTTTATTTTATTCAATTTGATTATCACCATAATCGAATTAATAATAAAAAACCTGACCTTGAATTCATTTTCGAACGCCTCATAGAAAACGGAATCCTGAAGGGGGTACACTAATATCTTGTAACATTGTAGCATAATTTTTTTCTGTTTGGCATCTTTACTGCGACTTTTAGCTGCTCTGGTAGCGCCATTCGCCCACCAGAGCTTGTTAGTGCAAGATGGAAGGGGGAGATAAAGCAGTCAAAATAAAGAGAAAAAGGAGAAAGGCAAGGTTGAAGGAAAGAGTGAGTGGGTAGGGTAGAGAGAGAGAGAGAGAGAGAGAGAGAGAGAGAGAGAGAGAGAGAGAGAGAGAGAGAGAGAGAGAGAGGAGAGAGAGAGAGAGAGAGAGAGAGAGAGAGAGAGAGAGAGAGAGAGAGAGAGAGAGAGAGAGGAGAGAGAGGAGAGAGAGAGAGAGAGAGAGAGGGAGAGAGAGAAAGAGGAGAGAGAAAGAGAAAGAGAGAGAGAGAGGAGAAGAGGAGAGAGAGAGAGAGAGAGAGAGAGAAGAGAGAGAGAGAGAGAGAGAGAGAGAGAGACAGTCGCCACGACAGGTTCTATCCCAGGTCACTGACTTCACACACTCCACTCCTCCCTCGACTTCCCTCCCCCTACAAAGCCTCCCTCCCTCCCCCTCCTTCCCTCCCTCCTACAAAGCCTCCCTTTGCCCCCCTCCCCTCCCTCCCTCCCCCCTCCCTCCCTCCCCTCCCTCCCTCCCTCCTCCCCAACACACTCCCTTGTCCTGCGGCGTTCTAACCTAAACTGAAGAACGCGTACTGGCCTCCTAGGATATCCTTTGCATACTGGGAATCCTCCATCCTTCTCTTCATCCCGTGGAATCGTTTAGGAAAACAATGGCAGTGGCAAGTAGGAAATTTTAACGACATTTTTGTTGTTGTTGTTGTAGGAAGCGAGTGTTTACGTCTCTCTTTTTCTGTTTACGCAGATTAGGGTAATAATTCGTCTGTGTCACTATTTCCGTCAAGAAGTTTGTTATATAAACCGTTTCTTAAATAATAAGTTTATTATTACCTCTGAATTGTGGAATTTTACCAAACGAGCTTAATACCTCCCTCTGTCTTTATCTGAAATTGGCGCGGTTTCTCTCTCTATCCAGAAACAGCCTTTGATTTGAGCTTTTTTATTTTGTCGTGACTGGTTTTGTGATAATCTCCTTCATGTTACGAAGAACCTGACAGGACAACAGCATTCACAAGAGCGCCTTTGTCTTGTCAAGAATGGTAACGCAGAATTGGCTCGGTCGCGTATGTCATCTATTTTTGGCTCTCTTTGAACCTGCTCGGGTTATAAAACAATATTTTGCGAATCTTTGTGTAAGTGGCTAACACATTTGGGAAGGTTAGGTGGAAATATTCCAGGGTTTTGTTGTTTATGTTCGACGGTAGGGATTCCGCGCTCGAATGCACGGATCCGAACACCTCCCCGCGGTAATGTAGGCCGCGTTCTAGAAGACACCCCATCACATAACCCGCGGCGGAGCGAACGCGGCCACGAGCGAGCTGGTACATGGCAACGAAAGTTTCCAGCCGGAGAAACAGCGTAAGAACTAAAGTAATGGGGTCTGGAACAGTGGCGTGTGTCGGCGAGGCGGGGTGGGCTGCGTGGGGCGGGCGGCGTGCTCAGTCGGGCCGTTGGTGTGTTGGTGTGCGGGTGCCCACTTCGCCTCGCTCGTGCCGTCCGTAGGTGATCGCTCGCTCGCTCCACGACGCTGTTCACGGACGGAATTGACG